AAGACAGTCTCAGTAAAAGAAATTGTGAACTGGTATGATGTTATCCTGTTTGAACACATTTGAAAAAGTTCAAACAATTTGGCCTGATACTCCAACCGTGAGATGCAGAGAGACCAGATATCCTGACCAATGATCATCTCACAGTTTCCTAGAGGGAGAAGGCCCAGGAGATGGGGTGCTCACTGGGCCGTAGCTGAGCCCCAGCCTGGAGCACAGGTCTGCTAGGATGTGCTGGTGGCTGAGTGATGAGTGGAATGCACGTCCCAGTTGTGGCTGGTGGCCCCAGGTGCAAAGCTAGGACTTGTGAGACCAGGGCTGGGCTTGTGTAGGCTCCCAAGGTGTTGATGGCCCAGCACTGAATCTAATACAATGGAACTGAATATGGCGAAGCACATACTTACAAATACTTACAAATTCACTGAAAGATCAGTGATATGGGGTTTGAGCTGCAGGCTTGAAGTCAAGGTCATACTCTCATTGCTGTGATCCAGATGGCTGGAAAGTGATGCTGTTACCACTGGTGTTGCTGCCTCTCTCAAATGTGTTCAGAGAACAAGCTGCATCTAGTCCAGGTAAACCTGGTATGTGTGTGAACCCTCTTGACACCTTTACCTGCTGCTTCTGCCTCCTTTTCAAATCTCATGGGTAGAGTTGCACATCTACAAAGCACACTGCAAGAGTGTATGACACATATACTCTTAGCTGTTCTGCTTCTCCAAATTGAAGAAAGGTGGATTGGAGGTGCAGCCAGGCGGCACAGACACAGCCCTTAATGAAAGCCAGTTAGAAAGAACTTCCTGCTACCTGTTTTTTTATTTCCTTTATTTTAAATAAAGACATTACTATATTAGATATCTGGATACCCTCTCTCTGAGATACTTAATAGTTTTAGTGACATCTTATTTTTGAACTATTTTGATATACTTTGAAATGAATAGAATTTTTAAAGAGCAAAATAGTATTAAGAAGTCTCTTTAAGAAATACTAGTCTTTACATATGCACACATTCTAATATGTTGAGCTTTTAAGCTGAAGATCAAATCTGACTTTGTAATCAGTTTTGAAATCTGACTTTCTATAAAGAAATCATTTAAAATCTATATGAACTTGTATCTCTTCAAAATTCACTCAATTCTGTGTTATTCTTTATTCTGAGTTGCTATGTAGCATTGATGGTTTATCATACTAAGTTTATCAAGCTTGTAATTCCTCCTTGCAAAATTAAAATTTATATTCATAGATTTAAAAAGGTATCAAATAGGGCCCTCCCTAGTGGTTCAAGGGGTTAAATCAGCAAATGAAGTAATCCACAGCCACTGTAGCATGAGCTTGATCCCTCCCGGCAGGGAGGTGACCAACATGGCTCGGCAGACCTCTCCTGTCTCGCCCACTGCTCCCCTCAGCAGTGTACTTCATCAATCTGCCTGTTCTGCTCCCCACTCTGTCTCTGGTGAATCCTTTCATATACCCCCACACCTCTGGCCTACACCTCAGTTCTTGTATGCATTAATACATGTCTTTTAAAAAATAAATTAAATTAAAAGGTTTAAAATAGAATAAATTGGGTGTCTCCTGAGATCTAAGAAAATAATTTGATAGTGCAACAGGTGCCAAGTCCTACTGACATTCCCCTAATGTTATCATCATTACAGGTATCACTTTCTCCTAATATATGATATGCAATATAAATTCAACAAATGAATGCACCCTATATAAATCAGAAATTTCAGTTAATTTTCTTCTCTGCTGTTTATTCTACTTAAGATTACACACTTCCTAAGAATAGGGTCACCTCTTACATGCCTCTATATGTCTCCTTCACATCCTAATAAAATGCTAAGAACATAGGAAGTGCTCAATAAACATTCATTGAATGAAGCAAGTTTGAATTAAAATACATTTTTGTCATTCATTAACCTTAAATTTTAATGTAATATTTATATTTTAAAAGTAAATTATTAAGTAAAAATTTTTAAAGAGACAAAAATTAAGCAATATTCTGATTTTTTTTAAGCCAACACAAATTTAACGGACAAAATAAAAGCAAATCTTTGTAGCATAGAAAATGAAGTAGAAGCAGGCATGCTAGTTTAAACATTGAATGATGCCATCTGCTGGAAAGCTGATTTTATCTCTCTGGGTTAGAAAGTCCCCAAGTTTAATGACCGTAAGCTTGGTATTTATGGGATTTTATTTAAAGAAATATGTCTTAGCCCCTCTTCTGCCTGGAGATATCTATCTCATTTAATTAATGTAGATAACAGTCCAAGAGTTGTGTTTCAATATTATTCACATTGGAAACTATAAAATGGCCACCTGCATTAAAGTGAAGTGGTACTGTGATACTATGTTTTCCCTTTTTATCGGAATTTTCTCCAACATCATCACTGTAAGTAATTTTTTAAAAAATATTTCTAAAATTTATTTATGCATACAGAACTGGAGTATAGGCCAGAGGTGCAGGGGCGATGAGAGGCTTCACCAGAGACAGAATGGGGAGCAGAACAGGCAGATTGACAAGTACACTGCTGAGGGGAGCAGTGGGAAGATCAGGAGAGGTCTGCTGTGCCAGGTGGGTCACCTCCCTGGCCTGGAATCCAGTTTGTGCTGAAATGGCTAGCTTCATAGTGCTGTGCTGTGCTTTAACCCTCTTTCCGCCACCAGAGAGGGCCCACTATAGGTGATATTGTGGCTGATAAAACTCTATTTGTGTAGTCTGTGTCAAGCCCTGTGCTATCGATACTTGTATTACTTCATGTAATCCTCTCAATAACTGTATAAAGTAGGTACGATTATTATCCTATTTTTTACATGAAAAGATTGAGGAAGAGGGTTTAAGGAACTTCCCCAAGACCACACAGCGAGGCAGTACCTCTGCTGAGAGCCCATCATGTTAGAACATGTAAGCACAGGGCTCTGTGATGGGAAAATTAACAGTCATACCAACAGTGAGAAAGGACTAGTGAACTTACAAGTCCATACTGCCACCTACATTCAGCTTAGTATATTTAATATTCTAAATGCAAAAATGAATTTCCTTTCTTAATTTTATCCACTAAGCAA